TTCGTTCAGGTCTCCCCTTTCGTCTATGGCAGCTTTAGCCAGCTATGGTTGACATACCAGCTGTGGCCCTTCCTGAATAAGTATGATCTAGCCACAGTTCCTGCCTCTATCACATCAAAAGTAAATCACTGCAGTGTGCTCTAAAGGTAAAGGTAAAGGTTCCCTTGCTCGAAAGCCAGTCGAATCCGACTCTAGGGTTGCGGTGCTCATCTCCATTTCAAAGCCAAAGAGCCAGCGCTGTCCGAAGACGTTTCCGTGGTCATGTGGCCGGCATGGCTAAACACCAAGGCGCACGGAACGCTGTTACCTTCCCACCGAAGTGGTACCTATTTATCTACTTGCAATTTCTTGCTTTGAAACTGCCAGGTTGGCAGTGTGCTCTACATGGTGCTAAAGACCGTTCAGTAGACTGAAACAGTGCTGAATGGGGCAAGCTGTTCCCACGGGCATGAGATGATGGCATTTCTGGAAGATCATGGGTAGCCTTGCAAAGGTCATTAAGAGGTCATCCCAGGACGACATATGCCTTTATCTATTTGGGACTCAGAGCCAGTTTGGTGTAGTGGTTAGAAGTGCAGACTCTAATCTGGGAGAACCGGGTTTGATTCCCCACTCCTCCTCCACATGCAGCTGCTGGGTGACCTGGGGTCAGTCACAGTCCCTTCAGAGGTGTTCTCTCAAGAGCAGTCCTCAAAAGAGTTCTCTCAGCCTCACCTACCTCACAGGGTGTCTGCTGTGGGGAGGGGAAGGGAAAGGAGATTGTAAACCACTCTGAGATTCCAAGTGAAGGGCAGGGCATAAATCCAATCTCTTCATCTTCTTCCTCAGACCCAGTGTGGAGAGAGGAGATTCTTTGCATGAGTCCCTCTGACAGGAAACATGTTAGAGAGAAAAGGATCAAGCTCATGTTTGTATCTAACACATCAGTTTTCCCTCTGCAAGGAGGGTTTTTTTTATGGATCTGACCAGCAGTGTATCTACCGGACAAGGAAACCATGTTTATTTTGAGACTAATCTTGTTTCTCCACAAAACCTCCCCCATCCGCCACAAAGCATTTTCCACAACCATTCAGTGCTACTGTTCCTTTTGATTGCCGGTAACAGTCTAAGTACAGCAGTATACAACTTGGGAGAAATAGTTGGTGGAAATTACTTCCATTTCACAGAAAAGAGAGAATACAATTAAATAGAAGCAGAAATTTAGAGCATATTTAAACAAATCATATGCAAGAAAGTCAGCTCTGATTGACAACTGTAATAAATAAATTATTGTAGTACTAGGAAAAAGGCCCGTTGTGGAAATAAATACAACAACCTCTAGAAAGAGGCTCTGGGCGGGTGCCCCGGCCTTGGACACTCAGTGTCAATTTGCTGTGGCGACCTCAGCAGGGTATAATGACACTGAGTCCACCATTTTCTCCAGAGGAACTGATCTCTGCTACCTAAAGAACAGTTGTAATTTTGAGTGATCTCCAGCCCTCACCTGGAGATTGGCAATGATGGTTCCCCAGAAGGGAATAGTTGGTTTGGAGGGTGGAGTCTATGGCTTTGTACCTGTCCGAGGTCCCACGCCTCCTGAAACCTCACCCTCTCCAGGCTCCATCCCTCACATCTCCAGGAATTTCCCACCTGGAGTTGGCAACCCTATCTCCTTCCCAGCCAATCATCAACCTACCTTTATTTCCCCTTCACTCTTCAGCTTTCCACCCCCCACACACCTGCAGCCTCTCCCGTGCTCTGAAGCCCTGACTTCTACATCACATTGGCTGTCATGGGGGCCATCTCAGCAGCATATAAGGATACAGAGCCCACCATTTTCTCCAGGGGAACTGATCTCTGCCGTCTGGAAAGCAGTTGTAATTCTGAGTGATCTCCAGCCCTTACCTGGAGATTGGACACATTTTACCTCAGAAGAGCAAACTGTTTAGAATGTTAGAGGCAAAAGCCAATCAAGTCGCATATGCAAACGACCTCTGTGTTCCGAGGCAAAGGCCAATGAGGCTGCATATGCAAATAACCTCTGTGTTCTGACTGGCTATGGGGGGGGGAGGAACAGCAAAATGTTTAGAATGTTGGAGGCAGGACTCAGGCAAAGCAGCCAGTGGATAGGGAGACCCTCTGAATGACAGATCAGAGAGCAAACTGATTTTGGAGCATGTGGAATGTTCTAGAGAAGTGCCACCACCATTCGGCTTTTATTTTTAAGGGAGATTATAGTGTATGTAAGAATTAGACATGGTAGATGAAGTAGATGATACATGTTCACGTTAATGTTTGTGCTTATGTAAGATGATTGCTTATGTTATATGTATAATTGTACTAGTATAGTGTGTATTTTTTGTGTTTGTAAAATTATTTAAAAATTCATTAAAAAAAAGAAATTACTTGCATTTCACCAAGCGGTGTGAGTCAACCTGTCCCCAGTGAGATGTTGTTTCAGTTGGTAATTACATCGTTCCTGAGGGACACCATTTCAAGAGCCACCAAAGGCTCAACAAGCGCTCATTCTTCGTTCCCATCGAGCCCAGCAGACAATCAACCAGGGCCACACCCGTGCACCACTCTGAGACACAGCTGTTCGATTCGGACATCTCCCAGATCCTGAGACGGCACTTTGTGGTGAACCTTCTAATGGACAGAGCAGCACTTCAAAGGCTACTGAGGTAATCAAAATGGAATTCTTGTGAAAGCAAGGGAGAATAGGTTAGGAAATGGCATGACCAGCAAATTCAAGAGAAACGTATAATTTTCTTTGAGAAAATACAGATAAATCATTAGCAAATTAGAAAAAGAAGAGGAGGAAGATGGCACTGTGAGAAGACTCTATGATGCTCCTCAGCATTCCTGGTTCTAATTTAGCTAACACAAGCCAAGGATTTTGACCTGCCACTTTCTTTCAAAGATATCCTTTATTTTGTCATATAAAGCCATACCTTCTTTATTAACAGGATTTTGAATGTCCCTCATTCATAGATTTTGGGTGGCCCCTTCAGCTCAAGAAAACAGAGCTTTCTTTGTGTCCCCCTTCAGCACAGGAGAAAGCTCAATTTTACCTTTCCCCAGTCCTCCTGGATTACCCACTTGGCTGCAGAAGAAAATAAAGAAGAGGGTCATCTGTCAATCAGCAGGTTTGGTACATACTGGAAAAACAGCAACTTCCAAACGCTAAGTAGCATATGGCCAGAAAGCACAGAGAAGACCAGCAGTAAGCATCAACACTGGTCTTGGCAGGGAAATGGGGGGCGGGACACACAGATCCTGTCAGTGTTCCATCACATCTCATCCAATTCCCATCATTATTACAGCCCCCATCCCATATGGTTTTTGTCCATGCAGGTCCCATCACTGTGCAGCAATTATTATTTTTTTAGGTTGCCAAAGGGGACGACACCCTCTTCCCTTTGTCCCCAGCAGAAAATTTGGTTGGATCCATCCAGATAACATTCTTTTTCAAAATCTAAGCTGGGTTTTCCAGTTGGAAATGAGATCATTTCAGAGGCCCGTCTCAGGGAATACATAAGAACCCAATAGAAGCTATGCTGGATCAGGCCAATGGCCCACCCAGTCCAGCACTGTGTCACACAGTGGCCAAAACCCAGGCCGAACCCCAGACCTCAACCTAAAATCCTTGAGAGCTGCTGCTCGGCTTAGTAGATAATTCTGATCTTGGTGGACCAATATAAGACAATTTCATGTGTAGTGGAAATATAAGAAGGGAAATGATTGTGTCAGGAGGAAATGTGTCTTGCAAAAAGGGTGCAATGTAGAAAGTTCGGGATTGAAGGTACACTGAGGGCAACAAGGAAAAGAAAATAAGAGTGTTGATGGTTTGTGGATGCAGCCCTCATGAGACTTTCTATCTTGATGAAAATGCCAAGCTAAAGCAGGGGTTTACAGGGGTCCCCTTTATCCCCTCGTAATGCAGGGTAGCCCCATCTTGTCAGAGCTAAGAAAATTTCAGTATCCACCATCCCCCTCTCCTCCATATTTCTTCTCCATCCACGGGGCAGGTGGATACTGAAATGTTCCATCATTTTGGACATGGTATTTTTTTCGGATGAATAATATATTTTAGTGTTGTTTTAATGTTCTTATATATTGCATTGGCCTTTGAGGTAAGCCACCCTGAGCCCTGTTTCAGGGACGGGCAGCCTAGCAAATTGAATAAAATAAATAAATAAAATAAGCAGGGTCAACCCCGGTGAGTACATGGACGGGAGACCACCAAGGAAGTCCAGGGTCGCCACGCAGAGGCAGGCGACGGCCAACCACCTCTGTTCATCTCTTGCCTTGAAAACCCCACAGAGTTGCTATAAGTCGGTTGGGACATGACAGCCCTTTCCACCACCACCAAAGCTTAAAACTTATCATGCCTCAAGTGTCACTGTACGTTTCAAACAAGCAAACGCCAGACTGGCTTGCAGGGTTCACTGATTAATTCTCTTCCATTTAACTGCTTATTCCCCTGCTCCGCCATTGCCCGTGCCACAGAGAAGGAGAGGGATGTTCTATTCGATATCAAAACATGAGTCTCCTTGCATTTCATCCTGGGGTGTGACGGCTTGAACTGTGCGGTGGAGGGGCCCTGCCCATACCACAGCTCAGCAGTCATCTCACAGGGCAGAATCAGCAGCTGCTGTCTCTCAGGCAGGCCACTCCTCACTCCCCCAAAGCTACAGCAGAGGAACTGGGGGGGGGGAATAGCCCAAGTAACTTAAAAGGTTGTCGTAAGGAGTGCTCAGAGAGTATTATGCAAAGGGTTTGAAAATTGTGGAAACCCTGTGCTTAAATTATGATAGTGACACAGCGCCATTTGCGTGCTTGATTTCTGTGCCCTCACTTATATATTTGCCAGTCAAGTGAACATTCCCAATTCAAAATAATTCTCTACTACTCTCTTCTCCAAGGAAAGCTAAACTTCCCCACAATTATGCAGAAACATGACCCTTGCTTGCTTATGCTGTGCAATGACATTTCTACTGTCTGATTCCCAGATGGAGATGGCCAATGGAACCAAAATACAGGAATTCATTTTGGTGGGATTTAGAGTTGGCCAACAGGAACAATTGCTGCTCCTCGTCTTTTTCGCCCTTCTCTATGTATTTACTCTGGCTGAGAATCTCACCATCATCGTACTGGTGTTTCTGGACACCCACTTGGCTCAGCTTCCCATGTACATCCTGCTGAGCAACTTCTCTTGGCTGGAGATCTGTTATGTGAGCTCAACAGTGCCTCGGATGTTGGATGACCTGGCAACCCCTCATGGAATTATCTCCTTCTATTCCTGTTTCCTTCAGTTCTACATCTTCTTTTCACTCGGAAATACCGAATGCTTCTTCCTCTCAGCCATGGCCTTGGATCGATATTTGGCCATCTGCCACCCTCTGCGTTACTCACAAATCATGTCCAAAGATTTCTGCTATGCCCTCGTGGCCGCTTGTTGGGTCGTGGGCTTCCTGTGGTACATTTTCCCAGTGATTTTGATCTCGAAGTTGTCCTTCTGTGGCCCCAACATCATTGACCACTTTCTGTGTGATCCTGGGCCAATTTTGTCCTTGGCCTGCCCTCCACTAGGAATTGCTCCCTATATCTGCCAGGTTTTTATGAACGCTTTGTTTTTAGGCAATGTCTTATTCATTCTGCTGTTCTATGGCAATGTGATTGTCACCCTGGTGAAAACCTCAAACCAAGGCAGTCGCAGGAAGGCCTTCTCTACTATATCCTTCCACCTAGTGGTGGTGACACTTTTCTATGGCTCTGTGGCAGCAATGTACATAATTCCAGATGGAGAAAATCAGTCAGAGGTCACAAAGGCTATAACACTTTTCTACACTTCCATTACACCTTTTTTGAACCCCATGATTTACTGCCTGAGGAATGATCAGGTGAAGGAAGCACTGGTCAAGTTGTGGAGGAGAAAGATATTGCTGAGAAGAAAAGTGACACTGTAAACAGAGGGGAAGATAGAATGGGGGGAACCAAGTCCTTAATCATTAAATAGTAGACAGGTTCCTACCTCTATATATGGTTGGACTGCAGAATGGTAAAAGAGTTTTGGAAAATGGTACAAAAAGGGATAAGTTTAACACTGAAGAAAAATGTCCACCTCATGCCAACAATGAACCTGTCGGGCTACAGCTTGGTACGGCTACCTAAAAAGTTGTGGTATGTAACATCATACTTTCTGGTAGCAGAGAGAATGTTGACAGTGACATGCTTGGAAGCAGACTACTTTACCAAATTATGAAAATGGGTTGAGAAAAATATGGTTTGTTATGATCATAGGCAAAAAAAATGTTAAAACAGGATTGTTAGAAGAAAAATTCTTGGGAATTATTTATACAGCACTGGTCTATGTTGACAGGTTTCTAGAATAAAAGGCTTCCTATGGAGGCAAAAAGGGATGTACTGAATATGTTGCAATGTTTGTAATGGTAGCACTTGGGAATATATTTAGAAAAAAAATGAAACAGGACAAATGGTCATGTCAGTAGAATAATTTTGTTTGGGATTATATAAGAAAAGAAATGTTTTATGTAAAAATAAGTAATGCAAATTTAAAGTATTTAGTAGTTATAAGCGGGCTGTGCTTTTGAATTAGTATTTTGGTTGTGTGTGTAATAATATGCAGGTTGCATTTTTTGGTATATTTATGATAAAATCTGTTAAAAAAATAAATAGTAGAGGGAAGAGTCATTTATTCATCATTGGATTTTCCAAGCTGGAGTTGGCAACATGAACATAGAAGTGCCCATGGGGTGCCTGTGCAGGCCTGAAAGGGAGGAGATGGGGGCTTGTAGCACTGGAAGATGGGGTGGGGTAAAACCAGGGGTCATTTCGTAGAAAAAGAGGTGCAGGCGCTCCTTAGCATAGCTCATTAGCATAGCTTATTTGCATATGCCACACCCCCTGACATCACCGGAAGTGTGTCAGAAGGCAACACCCACCGCTCAGGCTCCACTGGACTGTTTTGGATTGCTAGCTATTGGGGGGGGGGGATGTGCAGATCTGTCCTCGCAGAGGAGGGGGAGCTTGTACCTGAATAAAACTTGGTCTTTTTAAAAAAAGATTTATTTATGACTTTTACGTTACAAAGAGAAAAACAACGTTGGTCTTAAAGGTACCACTGGACTGTCTGGGCCGGGGGGACCGGGGGTGGGGGCTCTGCAACTTGCCTGGCTGCTTCTTGCTCTGACTGAGGGCTGCTGGGAGCAGGGGGTGGGGCTTGTTGCATGTGCCCGCCCCCTGGGCTCTTTACTGCTGGAGCTCTGCTCCTGTGCGCTCCTGCCGGAAATGACCCCTGGGTAAAACTGTTCCCACTCCCACACTGTGCCCTGGGTACTATTAGCAAGCTTGGTTTTGTTTTGTTTTTTAAAGAAGGATACCTACTTACAGATTTCCTGTCATTATACCCAGGTCTAACTCCAAACTAAATATGTGTGACACATAAGAACATAGAAGAGCCCCACTGGATCAGACCAACGGTCCATCTGGTCCAGCATCCTGTCTCACACAGTGGCCAACCAGTTCCTCTGGAGGGCCAACAACAGGGCATAGAGGCCTCGGCCTTGCCCTGATGTTGTTTCCTGACTCCGGGATTCAGAGGCTTCATGCCTCTGAAAGTGGAGGTTCCCCTCAGTCACCATGGTGAGGAGGAGGAGGAGGAGGAGGCGGTAGCCGTAGTCACGTACACTAAATAATCCACTTCCAATGCACTATCCAACTGGATTTTGCCTGTTTACATGAAAAAAATCCAGTTGAAAAATACACTGAAAGTTGATTGAAAGTGGATTATTTAGTGTGTGCGACTGCAGCCAAATAATAGTTTTATACCCCACTCTTCAGTAACAGAAGGAGTCTTGGAGTGGCTTACAATCGCTTTCCCTTCCTCTCCCCACAACAGACACCCTGTGAAGTAGGTGGGGCTGATAGAACTCTGAGAGAACTTATAACTGACCCAAAGACACCCAGCTGGCTTCGTGTGGAGGAGTGTTATCTTCCATGAATCTATTCTGATTTGGGTTGGTACAACTTATAAACACACAAGACACATCACTTTGGGGAATTAATATCCCCACATGCTCTGGGGCCTAATTTAGCTAGGAGTAGGTCACTGAGGGTAGCAGGCTTCAGCCTTCACTCCCATGCCATTTTCCTGAGGTGAATGGCTACAGTCGGGGGGGGCTGGATGGGACGTGATCTTGGGAACATTATCAGGGCAGATGTTGGCAGAGTACATAATATATAATCAATCGTATCTGTTCATAACTGTGGCTGGCTCAATTGTGTGATTTTTGTGCTTTCCATGAAACTCAGTCAAACCGTTGGATCCATACCATGAATATTTGCTTTTATATCTGGTTTGGAAAATACATGCAGTTCGATTTAAAACAAGATGCATTTCCCCAGCTCCTTCCTAACATCTTAATTCCTTTGCACTCTGTATGATCTCCTCTGGAGCATGATGAAGTCGGACTGCCTCCCACTAAACCCACTCTGCAAGGTCCCACATCATCCTCTTAAATCCCACATCAGCCTCTTAAATTCCATTCTGCCACCCATTCCCACTAGTGGTAGCCGCAGTAAGTTTTATTCACGGTCATTGACCAGCACATAATACACCGTTGGCATATCTTGCAACATAAATGATATATAAGGGCCCCGGTCACACTAGGGGGAAAGGCATGGCTGAAGTGCGGCTTTTTAGAGCCACATCAAAAGAGAAGTGCGGCTGCGGGATCAGACAGATCCCCCCAGCCACCGCGCAGTTCCTCCCCGGCATGATCAGATGCCAGGGGGAAGCCACGGACTGGAGAGCGAGGCAAGCCCGCTGCGCATGTGTGTACATGCGAAGTTCGGCAGGACCTCGCATGCTGCGGGAGAGACGGGCGCGTCAGCGATCAGACGCCCGCCCATGCTGCGCGGCAACCGGTAGGTAGTGCTGTTTTGCTACTACCTTTTTGAGCCGCATCTTCGCCTGGAAAGGACGGATCGGGGACGGGTGCGCACCGCTTCCCAGATGTTGCGGTATGATCGCGCCCACTTGATGCACCCCCGATACGTCCCTCCCGCGGGGCAAATCCTCCTGTGTGATAGGGGCCATGGTATTAAAATAGAAGCAGAATTTTAAAAGCAGGTTTTTAAAAAGGGAAAAACTCCATAAAACCCATAATAATTAAAATTAATAAAACTAAATCTTAATGCTCCTCTTTTTGAGCTACTGTAGTTTTTCTAATTCTTAGGGCAAGCCATTCAAATCTAGCAACCCAATGAGTAACTTCTGCTCGCCTATCAGGTAGCCATAGAGAGGTCTCATGTTATATAGTAAGATGGCTGCGACCACGTGCGCCTGGCCATGCAGTCTACCAGACTCACAGACCTTCAGGTCTAGAACAATAGCCACCGTGGATCCTACCAAGAACCAATGGGAGCGCTAGGATCCTGAAGAGAACCTATCATTAACGGGGCCATGTATATAGACCTATCACGGGAATTGGGGGGGGTGTTGGGTGTGAGTGTGTGTACGAATATAAGCCGGCCTCGCACCGGCTAAGTTATCTCTTTTCGTTCTGATGTAATCAATAAATGTGAGCTGATTTCACTACGCAACCCCTGGAACTCCACTACTTTTCATCTCACATGAAACCTCCTTGCCCGAAATCAACACTAAGGACTCAGGTGTCCTGGAGAAACTACTTTCCCCAGAATCCTCAATGCCTGGCATGCTACATTGTAATGTTCAAGGCACCATGGAGGGAGAGAGGTATATCAACTCAATCGGACCCGGACGTTATGCTTGCATCAAAATAGGAGGGGATGCTTGCATCAAAATGCTGCTGAGCAGTATTATTTATTTGCATTTATATCCCGCCCATCCCGCGGGCAGGCTCAGGGTGGGTAACATCATTAAAATGAATACAATAGTAGCTCATATCCAGAGGTAGCAAATTACAAACGACCCAAATAGATAGATAAACAGACAGACAGCTTGGAAGTGGTATTTTCCTTCTAAATGTTGGAAATGTATGTGTTTACAAGGTCTGATTCAGTCATTATAGGGTTAACTTGTATTCCTAGTTTGCTATTGTTTAGACTGACCTGGAAGGGATACCTGGCACTAAGCCAATGGGGGATTTGCCCGGGAAAAGTAACTTCTATTTTGATGCAGATTGGTCATTTGTTCCAGGTGACTTCCTTTCTAGGGGTCAAGAAGAAGGAGGAAATCTCCATTACGTGTGTGCTTGTCTTCAGTATAGGAAGCTTAGAAATGTAGCTCTTAGTGTTTTGTTAATTTGTAGCAATCCCGTGTACCTTTTCCCTTAGAATAAAGTATTTTTAAAAAGCAAAGAAATCTCTTCTTTCCAATAGAGCAAGATCCATCAAATAGTCTGAGTATTAAACAATTTTTGACTATTTACAACACTAAATGGGCAGACTCTCATCTTGTGATGCACCATCACATCACTGTCTCACACTGGAGGCTGAGGTCTCAGCACTGGCATGTGGCACCATCAGCAAACTCTGGAGAGTGCTCCACTTGTGGATCCAGACACAAGCACCTCCAGGTCAGATTCTTGCAATGTGCTCTACATGGTGTTGAGACACTCTCTCTCTCTCTCTCTCTCTCTCTCTCTCTCTCTCTCTCTCTCTTCCACATCCATTATACACACACACTTCTCCCAAACA